ATGTCTAGTTCTTGGCGAGAGCTCTATTTTTAGTTGAAGTCTTTTGCAATGTTTTTTTTTTCTTCCTTCCTCCATTCTGATATTATTTTCTGTGCCAAATTATTATGCCGGCACAACTGCCATTGCTCCCATTATTGGGTTTAAATATTTGTTTGTGTGTGTGTGAGTGTGTGTTTGTCTGAACCAGTAATGTTTGTTTTTTTCTCTCTCCGTGTACGTGCACGTAAATGTTGTTCGGGTATGCCTAGAAAAATACATATTTTATTCATGACAGACAGACAAATGCACAAAAAACAAAATTCTATTTGGAAAATTAAATGGCATCCGAATGGAGCATTCCTTAAATAGTTGAATTTTAAAGAAATAGTCGGGAAATGGAACATTTCAAAAACTAGCAAAAGAAACGACGTTGCCTTTAAAATTAAACTATTTAGGGAGAGGAAAAATTAAATTAGTATTATAGTTGTTCCCAACAAATATTGGAATATATATCCTTTTTTATTTTAAAGACATACATTTTATATATAATAAGATTAAAAAAACTTAATTTAAAACGTTTGACTTGTGCGCCATTTACATTTTTTTTTGATTTTATTAAATGTTTGTTCCTGTAAGATTTTTCTTAAAAAAAATTACATTTAATATGTTTTGCTTGGGCGCCACTTTCATTAGGTGTTCCTTCCTAAATGATTTTTTAAAACCCTCCACGTAATCACGCTAGTGTCAAAACAAACAAAGATAGATAGCCAAAATTTTGCACCGATTTATATTTAATCTGCAGGCAGGTCAAGCTCGATGTTGGCTATATCGGTCCACGACATCGTATAGCCCCCATGTAACGGTAGCCCCCAATATTCGGTATTTTGATGATTTTAACCACATTTTTCAATAAAATTGTGTAAAATTCTCCACAAGGAGTTTCTCGTGAATACAACGATATCACCTATATTCGGTATTTAGATGATTTTAGCCACATTTTTAATGGAATTGTCTAAACTTCTACCCAAGATGTTATCTGTGAGTACTTTACCCCGTTAAAGAGAATTTTTTATATAGCTTTGCGATATCGTATAGACCCAAAAAAATAGTACCCCGCGATATTGGGTATTTTGATGATTTTAGCCACATTTTTCAAGGGAATTTGCTTAAAATCCACACAAGAAGTCCCTCGTGATAACTTTATCCCCTAAAAGAGAATTGTCTATATATGTTGATGATTTTAGACACATTATTCAACGGCATTGTCAGAAATTCTACAAAAGGTGTTATCTTTGAGTACTTCACTCCCTGAAAGATAATTGTCTATGTAGGTCCACGATATCATACAATGGTTCCCACACAAGGAATTCCCTCTGAGTACTGGAAGAAAATTGTCTATATAGGTCTACATTTTAGCATAACGCTACCCCGAGATTTTCGGTATATCCATGATTTTTAAGGCATTACTCACCGGAATTGCGTCAAATTTTCTATTTGAAGTTCGTAATAGGTACTACAACCTAAGACAGAAAATTATCTGTGCAGATCCACGTCTTCGTCTAGCCTCCTAATATTCGGTACCACACTATATTCGGTATTTGGTGATTATTCACCTGAATTGTTTCAAATTACGTATTTAGAATTCGTAATGGGAACTACAGTCTGTGACAGATAATGGTGTATGCAGGTCCAGGTCTTCGTGTAGGCCCCATATATCAGTATCTCCCTATATTCGTTATTTTGACGAGTTAGGTACAATACCCACCGAAATTGTTTGAGATGTCGTATTTGAAGTTCGTAATGGATGCTACAGCCTATGACAGAAAAGTGTCTATGCAGGTCTACGTCTTACTATAGCCTCCATATAAATGTACCTGTACCCGATACACTATTCACCGGAATTATAATTATATTTCGTATTTGAAGTTCGGAATCGTTACGAAAGCCTATCACAAAAATTACATATCTAGCACCACGTCTTCGTATGGCGCCCATATAAAGGTTTTCATTTGAGTGTAGGGTGTAGGGTATAAAACACAAAAAAAAACTTCTTCGTTACTTGGTACTATTACTTTTATTTTTTGCTTGGGCGCCATTACATTTTTTAGAAATTTTTATTAGTTGTTCGTTTGCGTATTTTCCAGACCAAGGAATATTCTAACAGTAAAATTTACAATTCTCTCTTTTTCTAGAAGTACCAATATATGGTACGGGAACTTAACAATAATTCGCAAAACTTAATATCAATACCTTCCATATATTAAAGAACCGAAAATCCTTCAAATTTAATTAAGTTTAATTTACATGGAGTCGATTCACTGCACATTTCTATACTAAAAAAAAAATGGTTTCTTGTAATCGTTGCTCTCCAACCTTTTCAAATACCCTAGCCATTTCTAAAAACACAAAAATTGTCCCAGGGCATTGGGTGACAGACCAAGCTAGTGACATTATTTATTGCTGCAAAACCCAAAAACATTTAAGTAGGCTTAACATAACCACAAAGTCTTTGCACATTCTCACACTCGACGTTATGGTGGCAGTCTTGGGGAACATCTATTCTCAACATGTTGGCATAAAGTGCAGAACATTGGTGGTGAAAAGTCAATGGTCTTACATGCTTTGGGGTCATAAATAGGTAGGCAGTTTCATCTATGTGTGTGAGTGTATGTGTAACGTTGTACAGCCGTAGACATTGCCAAATGTGTCATAAGTGGCAGTTAGAAATAGTGTGCGGTTATATTAGTATAAGTGGTGCAACTAATTCTAATAATGAAAATTATCTAGTGGTTAGGGATATTTGTAATTTGAAAATTCAGAATTTTGTTTTTAACCTAGAAAAGAAGGAGATAAAAACTATAAATAACGAGGGGCAGTAAAGATTGTATATACATTTTATACACTCAGTATAAAAAGGGTACAGAGGGTGCAGAGGTATCTACGATTTTATAGAGCCAAATTATCAAAATAAAGATTTTAGATCGTATGTCTGAATTTCTACTGAGAGTACAAATCATTTGATACAGCATCGAAATAGCGGTTTCAAACGCTAGCCATTTTTACTATACCTAGATCGAATTCGGAAATGAGAAACATTGGTCCTCCCAATCTGGTACATAGCTCACAAAAAAAATATAGAAATCGATATAGTTCAGTCTTGACATATAGTAATATTTTGATAAGACGTTGTGCCTCCCGAAGAAAATCAACATTTTGAATAATAACTCTCGTAACATATGAAATTAACGTTTTAGAACAACCGAACATGTATGAAAATCGAAAGTATCTCTCTCTGGCAATATCTCTGAAAGACACCACCACCCACCACGCGTCAACATTTTTGAATAAACATAATGCTCAGGAAACGCGAAATAAATATCCAATTACTTTTTTACTTGGCGCATCTTAATATTCCTATCAACCCAAGATTTGGTGTGAAGATGGAATATATCAGCCCACTCCTTCTGGTACCTCCCCATAAAAATGGTCAAATTTTTGAATGCTCATAAAATGAAAAATAAGCATTGGATTCTTGCTAAACAGCACACATTCCAATATTTCCACTAACACACTAATACAGGGTGAGATGAAAAAACTGCAACCAACTTCAGACTGCTGTCATTTCTAAACCACTCGTCCGACAGCTGTTAAAGTTATTCCTGCGGCAGCTCATTTTATTGTTTAGAAGCGTACTAAAGCATTTTGGTGAGAATTTTTCAAAAAGAAAAAAACAAAAAAAAAACAGATATTCGTGATGGAATTCGAACGTGGTACGAGATACAAAATATTAATTCATATTAGCTTTAAATGTGAATTAATATTTTGAGTCTCGTACCATTATCGCTCGTTACCGTGATTCTGGTAGCGTAGCCCGACGTGAATATATCGCAATATTCCATTCGAAAAATATTGAAAAATATGCTCGGGGTAAGGCCATTGAAATTCCAAAAAGTGCAAGAACTTACACAGCAACAGAAAGAAAATAGACTCGAAGGATCGAAGGATCCAGCAGTTTGTAAACAAACAAAATGTTCGTGTTTACTTGCCAAATAGGCCACCAGAACTCAAGCGCCAGCCATGGTGATGATGTGGGCCGCCATAATAGCTGATAGTCGCTCTCCGCTCGTATTAATCGGCATCAGAATAAATGCCGAATATTATCGCGAAAATGTTCTGCAGGTTGTATTAGAGACTTGGGCACGCAAAAGTTTTTGCAGCTGACCTTGGACGTTCCAACAGGACTCAGCAGCAACGCACTCAGCACGCGAAAATGAGGTTCCTACCAATCCGATTGTGTCTGGAGTATTTTGGAAAGCAAGGATGGCACTAAAAAATACCGAAGTGTCGAGCACCTCAAGCAAGCGCTCCGCCGGGAATGGACCAAAATAACGCAGAGCAACATTCGGGCAGTGTGTTGGTTTTATTGACCGTTTGAAGGCCATAATTCGTGACCAATCAAGTTGATCAATTCGAACAAATCTAAACTTATTCTAAAATTTGATGATATTTCCGAAATTGTATGCTTTCATTGTAAAAAATTAAAAAAAATATATATATGTAAAAATTATTGCGTTGCAGTTTTCTTATCTCACCCTGTATATATAGAATTTTCTGAAGCTAGAATTCTAAAAATTTGTAGATTTTAATAAAAAATTTCTGCATGACTGGCCAACAAAAATACATTTTTATGTTCGGCTAAAAAACAAATATGTGAACAGCCTGAAATTTATATGTTTTTTTCCGAATATTGGTTTTCCAACATGGCCATCAATGTCACTTTTATATACATATTCATAAGAATATTTGTATATCACTCCCATGTTTGTAATCGCCCTTAAGTAACCCCGGGATACCATTTTTATACTTCCTCCCTACCCATTACTATTTTTTTTCTAATACTTTTATCCCAAAACAAACGAAACGAAAGAAATGTCAATAACAATTTCTTATAAAACCCATAACTCATTCAAGGATTTTATGAATTTTCAATGTTGATGTGTTTTTTGCTTCTCTTCTTACAGGTCAGCCAACCAAGCAACCCCCATTCCCGTAGGAAAGAAATGTATAAAATGACAAATACCCTTTTTCCCAAAAACGAAACATATTGAATTACAAAACATTTTGTGATGGCAAATATTTTCATAACAAGGGAAAAATTCATCATTGGAATATATTTTTGTGAAAAATGTCAAATATTTATTCATATCTAAAAAATGTAATCAAATCCTGAGAAGGCCAAACAACGCTCACCTAGCTCGGTTGGTAATCTCCGAACAGGAAAAAAGGAATCAAAAAGACGAATGAAATTCCTGGAAAATCAATATTGAAAATAGTGAAATGTCTCAGTTTGATGATAAACCTCAAAGACGAATATCCATCACTGTCCACCAAATATCCAATAAATTCCAACAAACGTCACAGCCACAGTCCCTAGTGTTGTCACAAGCAGCAGCCGCAACCGCATTGCCAGCACCATCACCACCACCACAATATGACCACAAAACGAGCCACAACCTATGGCCATCATACCCAACATCAACAGAGACGTCCACCTGACGTCGAAGAGGCCCTGTCATCCATGTTGTGGACACCGTATGAACGAGCCTCCGTCACGGACACCTCCTCGGACGATGAAGATGAACTATTGAATCGCCATCAACAGCTGAGGAAATCCAAAAGTCAATATGATTATACCAGCATACCCACGATACCACCGTCGCCGACACCCACGCCAACACCATTGATGCTGCCAGCCGCAAATATTGTGGCCTACATACCGACACCAACACATCATCAAGTTGTAACACTGCCGCCGGGCGTGGCAACAAGTACCTACTACGCGGCCACAGCCGAAGATATATGTGATGCATCTGTAACTACACCGTTAGTGCCTTTGTCCGGTCTTATTCTGGATGCCGGTAACGGTCATTTAACTACCATGGCCGCAGCGGCCGATGAGATACTGGCCAGTTCCAATTCCACCGTTATTGCGGTGGCCGTCAATGATGCACACACCACTTGTTATCCCCCTGCTCCTCTGGCCACTGCTAATGAGTCAACATTAGCCAATGATGACGGCGATATGAGTTCCTCATTTACAGCATCGTTAGAAAATCATAAAAATCGCTTCTCCTTCACTTCCTATGGTCGCATAACGGGCCTAAACAAATGGTGGCCCTCGTCGCACTCATCAAATAGTAATGGAATAGCTACAGCTACCTTACCACCACCAATCTCATCATCTCCAGCCCAAATAGCGGAAGCCAGCGTGTTGGGCTCATCTGCTCTAGGCTCATCAACAGCCACAACTGCCTTGACTGCCGCCAACACACCGGCTGAGCCCAAGGAACCACCCTCCTATGATTCGCTCTACTCGAAAGCCCAGCAACGTCAACAACGACGACTTCATCGTCACGCCACTACAACATCGCATCATGGTAAACATTTGAATATTTTCAAGCCGGTACTGGAGACATTAAAAGCAAATGTGTCAACAATTACCCAGGGTCGTTTTGCCAACATATCATCCTCGTCGCCATCGTCGTTGTTGTCGCGCCAGGATAATAGTACTCGCGGACGAAATCCTAATACAACTTACAATCCTAACAGCAATCATAATATCCGCAGCAACAGCAGCCGCAGCCAGAGCAATATCAACAGCCATAGCAATAATCCTTGTAGCAGCGAAACTGGTAACCCTGGTTTGGATGTTAGTAGCCGTAGTCCTGACAGCACTGAGACACATTTGGTTCATTCATTTACAGATGATTTTCTAGCCGAGGTAAGTTTATTACCATCGTTTTTTTACATTGTCGTCTGCTTAATTTTCTTACCCCACCCCTCTCTCTTCCCCTCTTCATTATGGCTGGGAATGGATAATGTATGTATGTTATTGGAAAACATTACAAGGAGGCTGGTTGGGAAGTTTAATGGTATGGACGGGGGATTAGAGGAAAATACCTTAAGCTTTTAAATGCGATGCTTTTGCCTGATATTAAAAAATGAGTCGTTAGCTTTTTGATGTATATGTGTGTCCTAATGTATAGCCAAAACATAAAAATCCTCAAAAAAAAAAAAACATAAAGTCCATTAGAAAGTCATGCAGATTTTTTTATCTGGGAGACCTAAATTTAGTGGAATTTAAAATTAAAATTTTAAAATAATTTTAACGACAGGCCACTGACAACGAAATACAGAGAGTGGAAAAATATAATTTGAATAAAAAAGAAACAAAGTAGAAATTTTCAGTCAGTGCTTCGACAGATACATAACCTCAGCATTGTGTATTGCTTTCTTGAAAGATGCATAAAGAGATAAGTGTTATATTGCAGTGTGCCAAGTTAGAAGGGGATTTGGGAAATATTTCTGCATTTTATTTAAGTTATGATTAGCTTTTCTTATATTCGTGCGAGATCCAGTTATATCCGATTGGGACATGCGAAGTTTAAATAAAATCGGAAACTGAATTTACAATTCTACTGTAGCTATTATAATTCAAATTTCTTTTACTTTACCAAGAAACAGAGGACAAATATAAATATTATAATGGACCACGTTTGGACCATATCGGGTACACGATATATTCCACTTTCACACTAGCTCAAATAAAGGCAACAATATTGGGATCTGAAAATTTTTTAGACATTTTTATGCACTAAACCATAATATGGAGGCTATATTAAGTTTAACATTCCATTTGTAACACCTCGAAATATACATTTTAGACCCCACAAAGTATATGTATTCTTGATCAGCATAACATTCACCGGATTTGTTCCAAATTTATGACAGAAATTTGTCTGTGCAGGTCCACGTCTTCGTATAGCCCCCATATAACGGTACCTCCCGATATTCGGTACTTTGTTGATTTTACCGACATTATTCAATGGAATTCTTTCAAATTTGGTATTTGAAGTTTGAAATGAATACTACAGCCTATGACAGAAAATTGTCTGTGCAGATCCACGTGTTGGTATAGCCCCCATATAACGGTACCTCCCGATAATCGATATCGGATGATTATTTTTTTCAAGTTTCGCATTTGAATATAGTAATGGCTTATGATGAAAGTTGCCTATACAGGTCCACGTCGTCGTATAGACCATAATACAACGGCTTAATTCAGTATTTTTAAAATTTTATCAGAATTTTTAACGGATTTTATTTTATTTAATTTTTTTTTGATAGTTCAAAATTCTTTCCAAATGGTGAAGGGTATTCAAAGTTCAGCCCGGCCGAATTTACAGCTGTTTTACATGTTTTATTTTTTTTCCTGTTTTCAACATTTGACATAGCTCAAGAATGCACCCGTTCTACATTATTTTTGCCGGTCAATTGTTATACCCTACGCAGCACTGATAATACCCAATACAAATTTGTGCAAAGAAACGATATATTTTGCTTATGTTTCTCATTCGATTTATGTATGTCCGTCCGTTTATATATGCGTCCGTACACTTAAGTTTTAATCAAATAACCGTTCTTTTGGCTGAAAACGAAATATTTTCAAATTTTATGTAATCTGTTAAAATGTGGCCAATTTAAAAATATTTTTTAAAACTTTTTTTTAATTTAATGCTGATTTTTCGTTAAATCGATGACATTTAGTCTGATTTATAGATATATCTTTATACCCTCCACCTTGAAATGGAGGGTATATTAAAATTTTAGTTTCGTTTGTAGCACTATTTTAGGGCTTACAATGATATCAAAGTCTTCAGAGATGGGTTGAGGGTTCTTGGTGTTATCGTTCGAGGACGACAGTTAAATGTAGAGATACTCGGAAGAATGTTTCCAGGTCGTCATAGCTTGCTTTGGTTCGGCAGCTCACTGTGGATATGTTCGAGAGCAGATATTTTGAGATAGATTGATCTAAATTCAAGTTCGGAAGCTTATTGAAGGTATGTTCAGTAGCCGATAGATAAAAATTTCGCAGATAAAACGTAACTCGTTCGAATATGTGTGTATGTTATGGTTTAGCTGTTTGGATCGTCTTCAAGTGCTAGCAATTCATTTCATTTCTAATTAACTACCAATGTTTGAGTTATGATACGGTACAACAAAGCGAAGCTCTTGTATGACAATTGACCGAAGTTACCGAGGGACACTGAGCCAAAGACTCCTGTGGAACAACGAGCCGAAGCTTGTGTGGAACACTGAGCTAAGGAATCTTGTGTGGTCAACGAGCCGAAGCCCCTGTGTGAATGAATTACCGTACACACAACTTAATGGCAGATTTTCCAGCTAAAAATTCTGTAAATGATTCTCATCGTCACTAATTACCAATAAAAAATCAGTATGTTCGGCTGGACCGAACTTCGAATATTCTACACAATTTGCATCGAATTTGGATATTTTCGAATAAATAAGTTACGTTAAAAATTCTGTTAAAATCTTAAAAATACAGAATATAGCCGTTATATTGGGGTCTATACGCATACGTGGACCTGCACAGGCAACTCGTGTTATAAGCCATTACAATATTCAAATGCGAAACTTGAACAAATCCATTGAATAATGCAGCTACTATCATTAAAATACCGAATATAGGGAGGTACCGTTATATGAGGGCTATACGAAGACCTGGATCTGCATAGACAATTTCCTGTCATAGACTAGGAAATTCAAATACGAAATTGGGAAATTCAAATACCGTTGTTTGTTGCCTATACAATATCGTGGACATATATAGATATTTATCTCACAGCGCTTCGAAAGAACTTTTTGTATGGATTATTAGACAATTCCATTAAAAATTAAGCTAGAATCATTAAAATACCGAATTTACGTAGGGAAGTACCGTTATATGGGGGATATACGATATCGTGAACCTATATAGACACTACTCTTCCAGGGGCTAGATTACTCATAAGGAACTCCTTTCGTTAATTTTCAGACAATTTCATTGACAAATTTGGCTACAATCATCAAAATACCGAATATCGGGGGGTGCCGTTATATGTGGCCTATACAACATCGTAGACATAGCACATCTTCGAACTTGATCTGCCTGCATACAGGCAGGATCAGAAGACTGATATGTGCAAAATTTTAGTTATATTTCAACTAGGCAAATCTTTTTGAAAGTTTTACATTATAGCTATGCTATAGTCATGGTAGAATAACAAGGTAACCCTTTCAGGCCAGCTGGTATCATTTTTATATGTCAAAAATTGTTCTAATTTGAATTCGCCTTTCATTTACACATAAAAAAATTGGTGCATGATTTCAAACTTTAACAATGCAATTCTAGAAAGTCGAGATGTTAAATTTTTATAGAGTATGTGGGAAAAAGTGCATATGCAACATGTGGTAGGCATAGGTAATATGGAGATCTAAAATTCGTGGATATTTGAAACAAGTGAAACCGGTAAGCAATTTCATAAGAAGATTAACCGATACATGCAATTTCATCATCTCATTTTTACGGATTTTTAACTATGTTATACTCTACAAGACTTCAACAGTGAAAGTGAATGAATATTGGATTGGTTTGGGGAACAAAACATTGGCAATTTTTGAGGTTTGATTAAATATTGAGATAATTGTTTTTTTCATTTCAAGTTCTTCATCCCGTACTGACCTTAATTTCGAAATGTATTAAAGTTATCTATACATAAACGACTTCCTGCAAGTCTACTATACATTTCATAGCTGAGCAAAGATTATGCCTGGAATCACAGTAGACCCAGCCCCCTGCATATTCATCAATATATGATCCAAATCTTAAGTAAGCCTGAGGAGTAAATATACCTTGAAGTACCTTTTAGGTAGCAGGTCACTACATTACTGAAAAAACGAGAAAGCTGAAGATTTAGCAAAAGAAAAAAATGTTACACCACAGAACTAACACAAAACCAAATTTTATGGCATAAAAACTAATTTGGCCGGATATCGTATCGTACAGAAATTTTTCGCTGTTGAACATGAAATCAACGTTTGTAACGTTACCAAGACTGCATACTGCGTAAGGATGGTGAAGAGATAACAACGATTAGACATCAATTATCGCAAATGTCCCTCGTTGGCACGCTATAGACTACGCATTATAAGCGACCACTCCATTTCCAGTCTCTATGATTTTCAACAATGTTGTACTAAGCGTTCTAAAATCAAACCAAGATACAGCGGCTTCAGCATTATTTTCAATCGATGTTAGGAGCTTCGAATGTTTGAATTGTTAATAGAAAAAACAAAACTATTCAAAATTTTTAATTCAATATTTTGATTGGATAAAACAATTTGCCCCAGACTTTGTACTTCAAATCAATTCGCCCTAATTACAAATTTGACATATCAAGTTTCCAAAAAAGTTGCTTTGTTGTAATTTTCGCCTATGTTGTTACCTGGTATTTCTCCCATGGCTATAGTATTTCGGGTTGAAAAAATATTTATAAAATTCATAAACAACGGTCTCGTTGGAAAATATATTTTTTAAAAATCATCGATTTGACTGCATGACACACGTGTCATTAATGTTTATATTAAATTCCATAACTAGTGCATATTTTTCCGTAAGTGTATTTTTTTTAAACATTTTATGTTCTCTTTCCAAATTTAACTAATCACCCTCGAAATTATGTCCTAATAACTCCATTAAATAGACCCTAATGAATCCATCAGTTACAATGGCGCCCAACATTGGTTAATTGAATAACATTGTGCTAGCTGCTGTTGTACAATAATGACTTATCAATTGATCTTATCACAATTAGTCAACTGATGTTCAAAGTTACCCTTCGGGGAGTGTTGGCAAACCTACCAAATAATTGTTTTCTACCA